GAGTACATGTTTATTATCATGTACAGCACTGAGGTCAATTCCCAGAACTGCCAAGGAAACCAACCAAACATATACTTGATTTTGTTAGCAAATCCTGCTCAGAAATTACCCAAAGGCTCTTTGCAAAAACATCACCTGCATATCCAGGCCACATGACACCAGGCTCTGAGGCCTCTGAGGTCGAAAAGCTACAGAGGAACAGATGTTAGAATGTCTCTTCAGGGATCTGGTAACTTTCTTCTTTTCCAAGTCCAAGATTTTGATTGCCCCAGAGTCATCAGCAGAAGCCAGCAGACTTTCAGTTTCATTTAGTGAAAGAGAATTGATTTCTTCATCATTCACATGAAAATGGTCCATGGACCCTTTGAGAGACCTGATATCTAGTACACTGATGGCTTCTCCATGGGAGGCATAGAGCTTGGTGGGGCAGGAGGGAGAAAACAAGACGCTGGTAACATCATCAGCCCCTTCCAACTGCATGTGTCCTAATGGAGTCCCATCTTCACCCCAAGCCACAAGATCTCCACCCTCTGCTCCTGAAGCCACAAGCCCATCTTTACTTGCATTCAGGCAGAGGATAGAAGAAGAATGTCCACCAGTCCACTTGACTGCCATGATAGGCTGTAAAACTATGAAGAGGGAAAAAAACGTGTGTCAGATTTTATACAAGAACTTGTTGCTATGAGACAAATACAACAAACAACATTTCAACAGTTTTTTGTTTTGTTTTGTTTTTCGAGACAGGGTTTCTTTGTGTAGCCTTCCTTGGATGTCTTGGAACTTACTCTGTAGACCAAGCTGGCCTCGAACTCACAGAGATCCACCTGCATCTGCCTCCCGAGTGCTGAGATTAAAGGCATGCACCACCACCACCTGGATCAAAAGTTTGTTTTGTTTTGTTGTTTTTTTGAGACAGGGTTTCTCTGTATTGTTTTGGAGGCTGTCCTGGAGCTCGCTCTGTAGACTAGGCTGGCCTCAAACTCCACCTGCCTCTGTCTCCCGAGTTCTGGTATTAAAGGCTTGCACCATCAATGCCCGGCTGATCAACAGTTTTTAAAGGTAGCATAAAAACTCAATTATCCCCTTGCCCTCTTCTCTCAAAAGACATCTAAAGACCAAATCTACAAAACTCTAGGTGAACATAGGTTGTGACTAGTATTTCTGCTTCTCTAGTACACATCTGTCCACAGAAACCCAAATACATACTGACTGGCAAGTGTAAGCTTTTGTAGGTTTCCTAAACTTATCCTTTTTTGTTTGTTTTGCAAGAGAGTAACTTTTGACTAATTTTTACCCCAAAGCATGAGAAGTTAATGAGTACATTTTACAGTTAAAAGGACTATTGTGTATAACAATGCAGTTCTGACCATTTTTATTAATTAAAGATCCAATGCACTGGTGGTAGGGGGTGATGACACTAAATTTCCAAATTTCTTAATCACATGGATATTTATTGATCACTTATATAATCAGAAAAACAATAAAGAAATATTAATGGGACTATTAAATAAAAGTTAGGAAAGCCTCAAAAATGTGTATATTCATTTGGGGCCAACAGGTAGCTCAGTGGTTAAGAGAACTTGATTTGTTGCTTTTGCAGGGGACTGGCTTTGGTTACCAGCACCCTGCTTACAACCAGAGTAACTCCAATCCCAGGGGATCCTATGCTTTCTGTGGACCTCTGAGGGTACCAGGAAGACACAAGAAGACATGCATATCTATGAGTGTTTACTCATACACATCAAATAAACAAATCTAAAACATTTTGTTAGAATAAATATCCTGTGAGGCTTTTTTGCTGTAGCCAATCAACATTTATCATGCATAATATTTATCACTGATCCAACTAGAGCCTTCAAAATCATTTGTTTACTTGGTCTACAAAACATACCCAAACACCATTATTAAAAGTGTTAAACAAAAGCCGGGCATTGGTGGCGCACACCTTTAATCCCAGCACTCGGATCTCTGTGAGTTCCAGGACAGCCTGGTCTTCAAAGCAAGTTCCAGGACAGCCTCCAAAACAATACAGAGAAACCCTGTCTCAAAAAACCAAAAAAAAAAAAAAAAAAAAAAAAAAAGTGTTACACAAGTCAGGAATGGTGGCACACACCTGTAATCCTACCATTTGGGAGACTTAGGCAGGAAGATTTTGAATTCTGGGCCACTCTGGAGATCTTCCCTTTAGGGAAAAAATAAAGGATCAAACACTCAGAAGGCTATGGCAGAATGGCTATGAGGAAAATTTACTTAAATAAGAGCTAAGTCAAAACACCTAGAAATGAGTTGTTTGCAAGCTACTGTTCTTGATTCTCTATACTTGGACTACAACCTAGTAGAAATAGGTTAATGTCATATTCTCTCACTCATTTATCAAGTCACTGTATCTGTCTTTTCCTATGTAGTTGCTTAAAGGGTAAAGCACAGAATTTACTCATATCCAATTATGGATTACTTTAATTAGATAATAGATCATTTCCTCTACCGCCTAATGAGATCATGGAGTGCATAAGAACAAAGTAGGCTATGTTAAGAGCATTTTATTAAAGGGTAGAATGCTACAAGGGGCAACTCTGAGCAGGGAAAATGCATAATGACGTAGGGAAAGAGGACAAGGCGTGGTTCATGAAAAGTAGGTGAAAGACTTGTAAGAAGAAAAGAGAGTGACAAAAGCAATCTTTTTCTACTTTGAAACTACCCTGATGTTAGTTGAATAATAATATGCCACTAAAAGTCATCTAAATAACTGGGGTAAAGTGACAACAGCCAGGCGATGGTGGCACATACCTTTAATTCCAGCACTAGGGAGGGAGGTGCAGGATCTTGAGTTAGAGGCCAGTCTGATCTACATAGTGAGTTCCAGCACAGTCAGGGCTACACAGAGAAACTCTTGTCTAGGCATTGAGGGAGAACAGAATGATATCACTAAATCCTTCAAAGACTTGTCTTAGGGGAGACAAGATAAAGATCAAAGTATGTGATAAATGAATAATCTCTACTATCAATGTTTTTCTTCAGCCACAACTCTATGAATTCTTGCTATTCAAGTGTACGAGCCTTGGAGAGCAGGAGAAACAGAAACTGAATGACTCTATCTTACCCAGTTTGGTCCCAAACTCCTGGCTCATGTGATCTTTCATCTGAGGCTCCCAAGTGGCTAGACCTATGGACACTTTGTAGTGTGGTGCCGTGTCCATGCCTTTTAATCTAATCATCCTGAATAGTTCTTTACCTTCTTTTCAGATCTACTAGATTTAAAAGAAATGTAACTGCCATTCAGACAATGTTTGGTTTAACATTCAGGAACCATGGAGAGAGATGGCCATTACTAAGTGTGGGTCAACACTTCCTCATAGATACGGGTTTTCTGAAGTTAGTCCTCATGTGTAGACAGTAGTAACAATGAAAAGAACTAGAAGACTGTGGCATTAGCATTGACAAAACAGACAAGAATTTGGGTTACTTAATTTGGTGAAGGAGATTCTGAGGGATTGGCAGTAATAAGCATGTAATTATATCAGAGTAGGGAAGTAGCTGCTGCCCATTTGTTTTTATTAAAAAACAGGAAGTGTATTACACATAGGCAGATCTCAGTCAAGATTTCTTACGACATAAAGATTACATGACACTGGAGCTGACTACCAAGTCTGTGAGCCCTATTATTATAATAATCACTTAATAGAGCTATCTTGAGAATTATATAAAATCCAGATTAAAAGACCATATATAATACATGCTTATACTGTAGTTCTTTTATTTTACTTTATTTATGGCATGTGCACCTCAGACATGCATGAAACCAGAAGAGGGCTTGGCTCACCTCAAATTGAAGTTACAGGTGGCATTGGGCCTCCATACAGGTGCTGGGAATGAACCCAGGTCTTCTGCAGGGGCAGCCAGTTCTCTTAACCGCTCAGCCATCCTCCATCCCTCTATTATTCTTTTTTTAAGTGCTCTTTAAATTTTGGAAACGCAGTATGACTAAATAATACAGGATTTCTTTTCCTCCCTGGAGACCATCACTATGCCTTCACTTTATTCTCCCTCTTGGGATTGTTTAACAAGTTAAACACACACGCACACACATTTCCTTAATTTTTTCACTAAGCGATGAATCTGAGCGCACTACACTTTGTCCAAAAAGATTGTGACGCTTAGTATTCAAAGGGCACTTTGAGATTATCTAAACTTGGGCTGGAGAGATGGCTCAGCCGTTAAAGGCTAGGCTCACAACCAAAAAATATAAGAGATTATCTAAACTTGTTATATTTACGAGGGTGTCCAAATTTTGTCACCTTACTTTTAGAATGGATTACTGGAACAGATGCCCTACGGTTCTGTCCAGAAAAAAGACTGTCAATTGCCTACGGTAACAAAACAAAACAAAACAAAACAAAATGGAGTTGGGCGGTGGTGTCGCACGCCTTTAATCCTATTACTCGGGAGGCAGAGGCAGACGGATCCCTGAGTTCGAGGACAGCCTGGTCTACAGCGCTAGTTCAGGACAGCCAAGGCTACTCAGAGAAACAAAATAAATAAAAATGTATCTAACCTGACCAAGACAAGAGGTCCTCAACTACCCAAAGATAAAGAAAATGGATCTAAGCGAAGTAAAGGTGCAGGAACTATTGGCTAGCAAAAATGGGAAGTGTCCCGCACAAGGTGGAAATTGAGCAGGAAGCAAATGAAACAGGAAACTTCGTAGGAAGGGAGACCAAGGAGAGCCGACTCAAGGCCATTCATTAATCGAAAAAGAGAAAAACAAAAGCAAAAACAAAACAAAAAAGAAACACTAGAGAGTAGATCGAACCCACTAGCAACAGCCTCATACCTGGGCTTCCCGTTCGTGGTCAGCGCCTAGTGATGACCTCACTCGCAGCCTCCAATCCCATCAAGCTTAGGGAGCGAGGCGCCTTCTCAGAAGTCACTTCCGGGCTGAGAGGCGCGGCGAGCGAGCTGGGCGTGCGCCCTTGCTTCTTGCCCTCAACCCGCATGGCGGATCCCGGGGTGCGTCGCGGGGAGGCCGGGCGAGGCGGGCGGTTCCGGCGCCCGCGCTGAGCGGCTACGAGGGGCGGGGACCCGAGTGGCCCGCGCGTCTGCCCTCAGTGAGGCGGGGCGCGCGGCGGACGCCCCCGGGCAGGGGCGGGAGCGGTGGAGGCGCTGGTGGCTGGAGCTGAAAGGGCTGGTGAGCGAGCTGCTCCGATCTCTAGGCGAGGCTTGGCCTCCCGTGCCGAGACGGGGCGAAGCGGCGGCGGCGGCGGCCCTCGGGCCGGCTGGTGAGGCGATGGCGGCGCCGGGCCCGGGGGCTGGGGCAGCCTCGGGCGGCGCTGGCTGCGGTGGAGCGGGCGCGGGTTCGGGGTCCTCCGGGGCCGGCGGCCGACTGCCCAGCCGGGTGCTGGAGTTGGTGTTCTCTTACCTGGAGCTGTCCGAGCTGCGGAGCTGCGCCCTGGTGTGCAAGCACTGGTACCGCTGCCTCCACGGAGACGAGAACAGCGAGGTGTGGCGGAGCCTGTGCGCCCGCAGCCTGGCAGAAGAGGCTCTGCGCACGGACATCCTCTGCAACCTGCCCAGCTACAAGGCCAAGGTGAGGGAATCTCGGGCCACGTAGAAGCCCGGCTCCTAGCTTGCCCGCCGCTCTCGGGGTTTACCTTCCTAAGCTTTTGAGTCAGATGTTTCACCTCATCCCGCCTTTCTCATCCCTCCTCTCCGTAAAGATCTTTTCTTTGAAGTTCAGCTTTGTAACCCACCCCACTTTTTAAAATTATTAGGTGATTTCCCATCGCCGATTTTCATCATTCGTTCTGCTTTCGACAATCTTTGCTCTAACAGACAGACCACCAGCCAGTACCCTTGATTTTATGTTTTCCCTGGCCTCCAAGTAGACTTAGGACAATTAGCTCATCTTAGTGGCTTTAAAATGGGTTCAGTTACTGGGAGAGATCCTTGCGTTCATCTCACGTTTTCCAAGCTCTGATTAATAAGTACATTTTCATTATTTTCGCCCATGTTCTCATACGGCCACAATATTTAATGCTTCCAAGTGAGTTTGGGTTACGCATCTTCCTAATCTGCAAGAAAGACTTTAATAGACCATCCTCCCAATGGTGCCATATAACTCATAAAAAGCTGCCTTGTCCTACTACTAGTGATCACTTCCTTGATGTCTTTTTCATAGTTCTATCCAGTTGATGTCTCTTCGGTCGTATTTATCATCTAATATGTTGATACCTGTTTTGCTGGGTATTGTTTTGGTATTTTTTCCAATGATTGTCTTTTCATAACAAAATCAGAATGCTAACAGGTTGTGGCAGGACCAGAGGATGCTCCAGCAAATATGAAGCTAGGTATGTTCTGCACATCTTTAATCCCAGCACTCCAGAGGCAAAAGCAGGTGCATCTCTGTGAGTTTGAGGCTAGCCTGGTCTGCATATAGAGTAGGAGCATATATGAGAGATGATAAAGTCTCACCTGGAATATGGTAAACATATCCCTTTTTAATGCTATATTGCTAGTGAGCATCAAAGTAATTTTTCATGTGAAATAGATGCACTATTTCTTTTAATATGCATGTATTATAAATATGTATATACACATATATTATGTCTATCTTTTTGGAGACAGGGTCTCACTATGTAGTTCAGAGTAGTCTCCAACTTGCCACCTTTTTGGGTGCTGAGGTTATAGTATGAACCTCTGCTACTGGTTTATTCTATCTATATTAAAACAAAGTTTGGTGTGGTAAGAGAGGGAACACAGCTGTTGAAGATGTCAATTATCAGGTAGATAGTCTTTTTTTTTTCCTGAGACAGGATCTCACTAGCAAAAGTATGCACTCACTCAAAAGTATGGGTTTGCTTTCACAAATATGTGAATACTGGTACTCACAGAGTCCAGAAGAGAGTGTCATTCCCTGGAGCTGAAGTTACAGACAGATTCAAGCTTCCCCCAAATGCACGCATGCACACACGGAATTGAACTTTTTGGTACTGTGGAAGATCAGGGAGTTTTTTTGTTTTGTTGTTGTTGTTGTTTTGTTTTCCAAGACAGGGTTTCTCTGGGTAACAGCCTTGGCTGTCCTGGATCTTGCTTTGTAGACCAAGCTAGTCTTGAACTCACAGAGATCACTCTGCCTCATAAGTCCCGGGATTAAAGGTGTGTACCACTACTACCTGGCTAGAGAGCATTCTTAAATCCTTGTTTTTCTTGTTAAGTAAAAGAACATCATTTAGGGGACTTGGAGAGATGGCTCAGAGGTTAAGAGCACTACATGTTCTTCCAGAGGTCCTGAGTTCAATTCCCAGCAACCACATGGTGGTTCACAACCATCTATAATGAGATCTGATGCCTTCTCCTGGCGTACAAGCATGTACACAGATTAAAAAACTGTATGCATTCTAAAAAGAGAGCATCATTTGCCACGATTGTATTTGTGTATCATAGTCAGTGGGTACTAATTGTATAGCAATTTTTAGGAGAATGCAAAATACTTCAGTATTGTTCTACTTTGCTTATATTCAGTGTTTTTAATTTTAAAATTAAAATTTTTGGCCTCTGTGGGTCTCTGTGAGTACAAGGCTACCCAAAGCTACATAGTAAGATCTATCTCAAAAAATTTTTTTTTAATTTCCCTTAAGATTTATTATTTTTGTCTAGCTTAAGGTTTCTAAGCCTGATATGGTAGTTCACTGGGAGACTGAAGCAGGGCGATCAAAATGAATTTGAAACCAGCTTGGTGAGTTCTAGGCTAGCCTGAACTACAAAGTGGAACCTTGTTTCAAAAAACAAAATAAATTAATATGTTTTTGTATTTACTTGTGATAGTAACATTTACATGAGTCAAGATTTAGATAAAAGGACTGGCAAACTACTTAGTAGGTTAATTGCTTGCTGGACAAACAGGAGTCCCTGAGTTCAGATTCCCAGACTGGCTGTAAAAGCTAGGCTGGCATGCATCTGCAACCCAGCACTTGGGGCCAGAGAGAAGTGGATCTTTGGCTATCGATGGCCAGCTGGATTAGCCAAAACTGCAAGCTTCAGGGTTAGTGAGACACTCTTTTGTCTCAAAAAATAAGGTGTGAGCAAAAGAGAAAGCTGTCCAGTATGCACACACTCATACACCACACGCATAAACAAAAAATTCACATAGCATGCAATAGATAATGTATCATATGAGCTGAGCATCAGTAGAAGTAACTAACATGTCTTCCTTTGGCTGATGTCCCACTGTTACGTAGTTCTCATCCTTGGAAGCAACCTAAATTGCTATTAATTTTGTATCTTTCCAGAGAGGGTGTGTTGTTTTTTGTTGATGTTGTTTGTTTCTAATACTTTAACTTTCTGCTGTGTATACTGTAGCTACAAGGTGGACTTGTACTTATTCTGGGTTTTAGGTGACTGTTTTGAAGATGGCAGGTTAATTTAGGAGAGAGGACTCAGAGAGTCCAGAAGTCCTTAGAGTAGTCCAGGATGGAAATGGTTAGAATGACTGTAACATGTGGCACACACTGCTTCTTAGAGTAGTGTGGGAATACTAGAAGTTCACTGAAAGGGAAAACTTAGGAGTTGAGTGGAGAATTAGAAAAGGTTTGACTTTAAGATGCTGCTAAGGTACAGAGAAACCCTGTCTCGAAAAACCAAAAAAAAAAAAAAAAAAAAAGATGCTGCTAAGGGCCGGGTGTTGTTGGCACACTGGGGAGGCAGAGGCAGGAGGATCTCTGTGAGTTCGAGGCCAGCCTGGTCTATAGAGGGAGTTCCAGGACAGCCTCCAAAACAATACAAAGAAACCCTGCCTCAAAAAAGCAAAAAAAAAAAAAAAAAAAAAAAAAAAATGCTGCTAAGGTGAGTTTTTTTTTCTCTCTCTCTCCAGGCAGGCTTTCTCTGTATTGTTTCGGAGGCTGTCCTGGAACTCGGTCTGTAGACCAGGCTGATCTCGAACTCACAGAGATCCATCTGCCTCTGCCTCCCCAGTGCTGGGTTTAAAGGCGTGCGCCACCAACATCTGGCCCTACTAAGGTGAACTTTAAGATGAGGTGGATTTGAAAATTTATGAAGAACTCTGAGCAAAGTCTTACCAACACTTTGCCTTATGGGGATGACAGACTACGGAAGGCGTGCACATGTGCATGCCTGCCTGTGTTTCTCTTTTTCAGTACTGGGGATTGAATGCATGCTAGTTGCATCCCCAGCCTGGAGAAACATGTTAATCTGATAATTGCAGTTGTAAAACTGCATCTGGTAACTATTATGAATGAGAGTTACATGATGTTCTGAGTATCAGTAGTGGGGGATTTAATTAGGTACAAAGGTCAGGAAGGCTTTTTTATAAGACATGATGCATAAGCTCAGTGAGACCTAAAGGATAAGGATAAACAGGCCAAGAGGAACAAGAAGAGCCTCCTAGGAGGGAATCTGGCTAGTATGGGAAACAAAAAGAATGTCAGTGGTTACCCTTAGTGCATGTGATGCTGGATTGAAAGAGATAAAAGGGAGGGGGACAAACTATAGTGAAGTCATTTCTGATTGTAAGCAAGAAAAATGAATGCGGGGATTGGTTGTTTACTTAGTGTGTGTTGAAGAGATTATTTTTGACTTCACTGTAGAGAAAAGGTTGCAAGAGGACTTTAGTAGTGAAGGAGATGGAGAGGAATGGGCGGACTTAGGGAATAGAGTCTACAGAGTTTGATGACTGCTCCTCCTATCATCTTTAGGTGTGGCACTTGGATTTTAGGTCAGCAGGCATTAAAAATGTTTTTTTTTCACTCAGAATATTAAGATATTGGGATTATCTATGTGTTCTCTGAAATTTTTGGGATCAAACAATTTTTTTAAAAGAATCTACAGAATTTGGCAGTAGTTTTGAAATAGAAAAGAGGAAGAAGGAGCCAAGAGTGACTCCTAGCTATTTGACTTACCTAATATAAGTGTCACTTGAGCTAGAGTTTAGAGAAATGACAGCAAGTTCATTTGTGGAAGAGCAGAATTCATAGTGTTTTGAGATACGCAACAGATTTCAGACAGGCAGTTCTTGGTAGCCAAGGATCAGGGGAATGTTCTAGGCTAAAGATAGAAAGTAATTTTTAGTTGAATAAAGGGAAATATGATTGTAAAGGTAACCTGGAACTAGATATATCATGGAAGGCCTTTTGAAACACAGTTTTTGATATATTGTTTGGACTTTATTCTGCAATTGGAAAAAATCATACAATTTTGAACAGAAGAGTGATGAAGTAAAAGCTGTGCTTTCATAAGACCAGGCCATGAGATGTAGAGAGCGCATAGAGGAGAGAAGGACAGGTCTGGGAAAGCTGTCACAGAACAACTGCACACAGGTGACAGCTGATAGGGTGGGTGAGACTAGGGAGGGTGGATCAAATAGAACTCCAAGAAGCCTGGAATAGAAGGACTGGAGTGAGGATAGCATGACACTCATGTAGTTGGTTCATCTTTTTCTCCTTCCTTCCCTTCCCCTACCTTTCATCTTCCATGCCGTGCCTCAAACCCACGACCTGATGAATGTTCAGCACTCTACCACTGAGCTACGCCTTCATTTCCAGAATTGTTATTTTTTAAAACTCATGTTTTAGGTATCTCCAAGTAGCATTGGTTATCCCAGATACTTTGTATCTAACTATACTTCTCTAAATTTCAGACTTACATCCTGAGCTAGATCTTTATTTTTGTTTTTATTTTTAGAAACAGAATTAGAGACAGTTTGTTGAGGAATGGAGAGTACACTGGAGAATGAGAGTGGGCTGTGAGCTGAAGGGAAACCACTCAAAAACTCAAAGTTAAGTCTGTACTAATGCTGCTGAAATAGGAAATCTAGGTTGTTCAAAAACTGAATCAGAAGCTCGACTTTAATTTTGTTTTTCAAGATAGTATTTGTTTCTCTGTGTATCCCTGATTGTCCTGGAACTCACTCTGTAGATCAGGCTGGCCTCAACACAGAGATCTGCCTGCCTCTGCCTCCCAAGTGCTGGGATTAAAGGCATATATGGCCTTAAACTTTATTAATTGGGTATTTATCCATTTTATTTGAATTTTTCAGTATTCTAAAAATAAAGACATAATATGACTATGATACTACTGTCATCTCTAAAGAGAAACTGACAGTAATTTCTTAACACAAAATTGCAGTGTTGCATCATTAATGTGAAATGTTATAGTTTACTTAACCAGTATCTGTATACATTCTCATGACAAGACATTGCTAAGTCTTAATAGGCTATCTTAGTCTGTAGATTAATTCCATCCCACCTCCTGCCCCTGCAATTTTTTTGTTACCGTCCTAGGTTTCTGGTTTCATCCCTATGGTGTTGCTGAATGTGCTCTGTTTTTCCCTTTTCATGCAAGCTCTATATACAGTGTAGAGCACTGACCGTGTGGCCCTGGCTAAGAATACCTTCATGGAGGTGGGGGGAGAGAGCGTGTGGGAGGAGGGCAGGAGGTAGGGTACCAGGAGCCAGGCAAGGCAGGTGGGATAGGAAGTGCATCAGCCTGCTCTGGACAGCTTTGAAGCCAGGAAGAGCTTGGCTGATGTGGTGCCATGTGTGGAGCCGTCAGAGGTTACAGCTGACGTGAAGATGCTGGCTTAGAAAGACAGCTCTGCAAAGAGCTTAAGGTTAAGGACTGAGTTTGTAGGCTTCTGTGGGCAGAGGAAGGGAGCCACTAAAAATGAATGCAATAGAACAGTTCAGCAAAATGGGAGGTTGAGGAAGAAGAGGCTGCCAACGTCCTTGTGACAGGGAAAATTAGAGAAAAAGCAGCTAGAATTTACAAGAATTGTGGAATAGGCTGTGAGGAAATACTCATTTTTTAAAATTCTCACATACCATGCAGTTTATATTTTATTTCTTTCTCATTTATCTTCTTACCAAGCTAGTCCTTACATGCAATAAATCAGACTATCCTATGTGACTAGAAGACTCCTCTTCTTCTTCTCCTCCTTCTTCTAGGTTTATTTATTTATTTATTGTTTTTGTGTGTGTGTGTGTGTGTGTGTGTGTGTGTGTGTGTGTGTGTGTGTGTGTGTGTGCACGCGCAGCCTTAGCTGTTCTTAGCTGTCTGGAACTCACTCTGTAAAACAGGCTGCCCTCAAATTCACAGAGATCTGGCTGTCCCTGCCTCCTGAGTGCTGGTATTAAAGTCATGTGCCACCACTGCCCGAAGAAAATATTAATTTAACATTATCATGAGGATGTATTTTCTTCGTGTTACTCTTTTGATTTAGAAGATACTTGCTTGTGGATATGTTTCTCCTTTGTTTACCCTTATGTTGTGATTCTGTAGGTGGATAAAAGCATATGTTGAAGGGCTAGATAGCTCAGTGTAAGAGCACATACTGTGTCCTTGTTAGATGGCTAACAACTAACTCTTTAATGGAATCCGGTTTTGTGGAGTCTAATTCCCTCGTCTGGTCTCCACAGGCACTGATCTCATGTGTATGCAAACACACACACACACACACACACACACACACACACACACACACACACCCGCCCCACTCCACCCTGCCACACAACTAAAAAATATATAAACAGGTAGGGAAAAAAATGAGGAATGCTTAATTTGTCCATTTTCCTTATGAAAACAGAGTACCTGAAACAAGCAATTACTCTGTGCTGGGCTGGGCAGGGCAGGGCAGGGCAGGGCAGGGCTGGGCTGGGCTGGGCTGCAGTGAAACAGTAAATAAAGTGCTGGCTGTTGGAAAGTGATCTTTTGACCTGGGGATTGGGTCCCTGGCTCTTTTCTGAGTCTCATGCACTAAGTAACTGTTGTCCTTTAGGTCTGTAACCTCATTCTTTTTAAAGATTTATTTGTTTTTAGTTTGTGTCTGGGTGTTTTGCCTGCTTGTATGTCTATGCACCACATTCATTCAGTATTCCCAGAGACCAGACGGGTGTGTTGGCTTCTCTGGAACTAGAGCAATGTGGGTGCTAGGAATTGGTTTTAGAGCTTCTGCAAGAGCAGCAAGTGAGCCGGGCGGTGGTGGCGCACGCCTTTAATCCCAGCACTCGGGAGGCAGAGGTAGGCGGATCTCTGTGAGTTCGAGGCTGGGCTGGACCGACAGCCTCCAAAACAAAACAGAGAAACCCTGTCTCATAAAAACCAAAAAAAAAAAAAAAAAAAAAAAGCAGCAAGTGCTCTTGCCTACTGAGTGATCTCTCCAGCCATGGGATTTTTATTTATTTTTTTAAAGATTTTTTTTTATTTATTATGTATACAGTGTTCTGCCTGCATATCAGAAGAGGGCACCAGATCTCATTACAGATGTGGTTACTGGGAATTGAACTCAGGACCTCTGGAAAAAGAAGTCAGTGCTCTTAACCTCTGAGCCATCTCTCCTTCCCAAAGACGGGATTTTTAAAGTAAAATAGAAACAAAATGTTTTATATGTGTATCTATATATGTATGTGTATTTATATATTAGTTTTCCAGACAGGGTTTCTCTCTGAAGCTTTGGTTGTCCTGGAACTTGCTCTTTAGACCTGACTGGCCTAGAACTCAGAGATCTGTCTGCCTCTGCAGGATTTAAAGGGGTGCACCACCACCCCTGACTCCAAGGTTTTGTTTTTGTTTTTGAGACAGGATTTCTTTGTGTAACAGCCCTGACTGTCCTGGAACTCACTCTAGATCAGGCTGGCCTTGAACTCACAGAGATCCACCTGCCTCTACCTCCCCAGTGCTGGGATTAAAGGTGTGCACCACACCTAGCAAGTTTCATATTTTTAAAACATGAAACTGTCATTATTTGTACAAAGGAGCTGCTTTTATACTGTTTTCATGGTAGGAGCTTTAAAAACCTTAGGAAAGGCCAACTGACCTATCCCATTGGTAGTGCTGTTCTTCCTAAATCCTGGTTGAATTTGTGTGCATAGTTTGCAGAATTTCCATACGCCATCTACACCAAGCTTTACCAATGACTCATGACATCTAGTTTCATGTTTACACTACTCTGCCTCTGGCTGTTTCAAAGCAATTACCATGTATCGTTGTTTTATGCATAAACATTTCAGTAATATATCTGAAAAAGTACAAGGATAGTTGTGTATGTTTTGACATTTCAAGCTTACTTATAGAAATTATACTACAGTTTGGAATTTCAGTAAGACAGTTGGATTGCTCCCTCCCTTTCTTTAGATAGGGTTTCTCTGTTTACTGTGTTCATCTTAAACTGGTTCAAGCAATCTAGAGTAGCTAGGACTGCAGGTATGTGTGTCCACCTGGCTCTAGGGGGGAGTTATTTCAATGGGATACAATATTTAATGTTTGTTCACCATCCAGAAGGTTTATGTATTATTTGGAAATAAGTGTTATTTAAACGTTTATAATCTTATTATCTATAAACACAAAACCTCAATGTGGTTTGGTTTGGTTTGGTTTATTCGGTTTGGTTTGGGGGAAGGAGAGAGAGATAGGGTTTTGCTAAGTGGCCCAGGCTGGCCTTGAACTTTCAGTTCTGCTTCAGCATCCCCGAGTTGCCGAGATCACAGATGTGAACCACCACATTTAGCTTGCTACATTTTAATATTAAAAAAAAAAAGTCAGAGGCTGGAGAGATGGCTCAGCAGTTCAGAACACTGGCTGCTCTCCCAGAAGACCAGGGTTTAATTCTACATGGCAGCTCACAACTGTCTATGACTCTAGTTCCAGGGCATCTGACACCGTCACACCAATGCAAATGAAATTTTAAAAAAAGGACCAAAGGTGGGGGGTAAGAAAATTTAAAAAGAAAAAATTCAAGTTTATTCTTTTGGTCTCTTTCTCATGTTTTTAGGTACGTGCTTTCCAACATGCCTTCAGCACAAATGACTGCTCCAGGAATGTCTACATCAAGAAGAATGGCTTTACATTGCATCGGAACCCCATCGCTCAGAGCACCGATGGTGCAAGGACCAAGATTGGTTTCAGTGAGGGCCGCCACGCCTGGGAAGTATGGTGGGAGGGCCCTTTGGGCACTGTGGCAGTGATAGGAATTGCTACGAAGCGGGCCCCTATGCAGTGCCAAGGTTATGTGGCATTGCTGGGGAGTGACGACCAGAGCTGGGGCTGGAATCTGGTGGACAATAATCTACTACACAATGGGGAAGTCAATGGCAGTTTTCCACAGTGCAACAACGCACCAAAGTATCAGGTGAGAAATGATATGTTCTCATTGTGGGCCATTTCAAATCACATCTTAATTTGTTTAAAATATATTAGAAAGCAACTAGGTTTTTGTGTTTGTTTTGGTAATTTTTTTAACCTTGTACTTTTTTTGAAATTTATAAAATAAATGATAGGTTATATGTCAGTATTTCTTAATACATATTTGAGCAATCCATCTTTGCCCTGGGTCAGAGCTTGCCACGCTTTTACTGTATGGGCCAAAGAGTGACTGTTTTAGGCTGTCTCAGGCCACTGTCAGCTTTGTGTGTAGCATCACGTCACCTGTACACAGTAGGAGTAAGAAGCGTGGCTGTGCTTCAAAAGACCTCATCTGTGAGCTGCATGACCAGTGTGGCTCAGGAGCTGCGTGTGTTGGATCATGTTCAAGATTGTCATCTTCCCTGTATCATGAGACATCCAGGTCTTTCTTTCTTTTTCCTCTTTTCTGGTCACCTTGTCACAACAAATGCATGTGCATATACATGCATATTTACCCTCTGCTCCTAACTAATACATGAATTCAAAGTCCTTGAGATATTGACAAGTTCAGACAAACTGCTACATTTTTGTTTGTTTATTTTTCTTATCTTAGATTTGTTTTTAAACTTTATGGGTATGGATGTTTTATCTCCATGTATGTCTGAGTACCACATGTGTGCCTGGTGTCCCTGGAAGCCAGACGAGGATGTCAAGTCCCCTGGAACTGAAGTTACAGATTCTGTAAGCCACTGTGTGGGTGCTGGGATTGAGCCTGGATCCTGTAGAAGAGCAGGCAGTGCTTTAACTGCTGAGCCGCGTTTGCTGCCTTGCGCTCATTCGGTTCTAGAATTAAAGTTACAGTCCTTGTGTCTTAAATCCATATTATTGTAGATTCAGCAGAGGATAAAACAATTCAATAAGATTCCAAGAAGTGGGCTGGAGAGTTGGTTCAGTGGTTAAGAGTATTTGCTGCTTTTCCAGAGTTCAGTTCCTATCCACCCACTTTGAGCATTTCACAGCTTCTTATCATTCCAACTCCAGGGGCTTCAATTCCCTTAACTGACCTCTGTGGGCACCTACAAACATTTGTGCACACACATAAACACACATTTTTGTTTTGTTTTTTGAGACAGGGTTTCTCTGTGAAACAGTCCTGGCTGCCCTGGAACTCACTCTGTAGACCAGGCTGGCCTCGAACTCACAGAGATCCACCTGTCTCTGCCTCCTCAGTGTTGGGATTAAAGGTGTGCACCACCTCACTCACACACACACACACACACACACACACACACAATTTTTTTTGTTACTGCAACTTTATTGAAGAAAAATTAATCAGTTACTAGGAGAGCTATTGGTTGATCACTCATCCATGGACAACTCACATCATTTATTCAGCACTATGTTAAAACACACATTTATTGCCTGGCGTTGGTGGCGCATGCCATTTGGCCCTGGGCTTTTGTGGGGGGGGGACTTTTAATGACTCCTTCTATTTCTTTGGGGGTTATAGGTCCATTTAAATTGTTTATCTGAGCCGGGCATTGGTGGCGCACGCCTTTAATCCCAGCACTCGGGAGGCAGAGACAGGCAGATCTCTGGGAGTTCGAGACCAACCTGGTCTACAGAGCGAGTTCCAGGACAACCTCCAAAGCCACAGAGAAACCCTGTCTCGAAAAACAAACAAACAAAAAAATGAAAACGAAACACACATTTATTTATTATTGGTTTTTCGAGACAGGATTTCTTTGTGTAACAGTTTTGACTGTCCTTGAACTCACTTTGTTATACCATACTGGCCTTGACCTCACAGAAATCCACCTGCCTCTCCCTCCCAAATGCTGGAATCAAAGGCATCTACCACCACTGCCCAGCTAAAACACACACAATTTTTTTTGTTGTTTTGTTTTGTTTTTCAAGATAGGGTTTCTCTGTATTGTTTTGGAGGCTATCCTGGAACTCGCTCTGTAGAGGAGGCTGGCTTCGAACTCACAGAGATCCGCCTGCCTCTGCCTCCCAAGTGCTGGGTTTAAAGGTGTGTGCCACCAGCGCCGGCAACACACAATTTTTAAAAATATCTTTTAAAAATAATTCCCTAAGCAGAAGTCTTGAGAGACTATTCATTTCATATTTCAGAGCCACAGCTACGGTAATGCTTACAGGGGCTTGCAAGATGCTTCAGAGGTTAAGAATACTATCTGTTCTTCCAGAGGACCCATGTTCAATTCCCAGCATCCATGGCAGCTCACAACTGTCTATAACTCTAGTTCCCAGGGATCTGATACCTTCTTCTGGCCTCCACAGGCACTGGCATGCAAATGATGCCCAGACACATTTAGGCAAAAGACCTTTATACATAAAAAATATGATCATAAAATTATCAGCTCTGGCATACTAATTTAAAAGGTAAAATGTATATCCATTTCTTGAGGTTCAAAAGCTGCAAGGATTTTCCTTCATAATCATTTCTTCGTTGTCTCTTTATATGTCCTATAGAGAGGAGTGTGCAGTTTTACCATTAAACATGAAGTCTTATCACTACCTTCAGGGGCAGTGAAAATCCTCATGTCCTTGGTTTCAGAGATCATTCTGTGTGTCCTTCCTTCTTTTTTTGTTTTTGTTGTTTGTTTTTGAGACAGGGTTTCTCTGTGTAGCTCTGGCTGTCCTGGAACTCACTCTGTAGATCAGGCTGGCCTGGAACTCAAAGATCCACCTGCCTTTGCCTCCTGAGTGCTGGGGTTAAAGATGTGCGCTGCCCATCCTATTTCCATTTTTTTTTGAAATATATTTCTGCTAGGTTAGCCAGTTCTTTGAATGATGGGATTTACATCATCTAGATTGTTACTCATTTTACTTGATCTTTTACTGAAAAAAGTATTGACGTCTCCAACTATGCTTTCTAGCTCGTCTGTTTTTCTTTTTTTTTGGTTTTTCGAGACAAGGTTTCTCTGTGGCTTTGGAGGCTGTCCTGGAACTCACTCTGTAGACCAGGCTGGCCTCGAACTCACAGAGATCCGCCTGCCTCTGCCTCCCAAGTGCTGGGATTAAAGGCGTGCGCCACCAACGCCCGGCTCGTCTGTTTTTCTTTTGGGTCTGTCTTCATATACTTACGGGCTGTCATTATTATATTTCCCTGTTTATCATTACAAATGACCTTTGATTCTACCAATATTCTTGTGTTTGAGTCTGTACTGTCTTGACTTTAATGTAGCCACTCCAGTTTTTAATGGAATAACCCTCCAGCCTGTTGCTTTTGATTCATCTTGTTATTAAAATGGGATTCCTAACTAGCATGTGGTTGAGTCTTTATTTAACAGCATTTTACAGTCTGTCTTTTTAAAAGTTTAGTCCAGGCTGGATGGTGTTGCATGCCTTTAATCTCAGCACTTGGGAGGCAGAGGCAGTCTCTGTGAGTTCCAGGTCATGCTCCAAAACTACACAGAGAAACCCTGCCTTGAAAAACCGAAAAAAAAAATTTAGTCCATTTACACACATTAAACTGTTGGACCACTTAATACTATCTTATTCTTCACCTACAAGCCTTGTTTCTCTTTTTTGTTTTTGAGACAGGGTCTCACTATATATCCTTCCCTGGCCTGGAACTCACAGATATCTGCCTGCCTCATCCTCCCGGTGCTGGAATGAAAGGCATGCATCACCATACTTGGTTGTCTGTCTTCTTTGACTGCATAATTTCTTTTGCTCTAGCTTCATGTCCACTGCCTTTATTCTACTATCTCAACTTGTTGAACTAGGCTAATGAGTCCTGGTTATTGTATGCCTTAGAACTAGATTTCATTTGGTTTCTTTTTCTGTATCCATTTCTCTATTAAGATTTCCTGTAGCTTTTCTTCTTTGGACATATTTCAAATGATTGTAATATATTAATGCCTATATAATATTTTATTACATTTCACAGTTACTTATACATACATATGTATATACACATAATAACTATAAGTACTCTGAATTCTTTGTCAAATTAGAAAACCTGTGTCCAGGTAAGAATCAATTTTTTTGTTTGTTTGATTTTCAAGACAGGGTTTCTCTGTGCCACACACTCTAGACCAGACTAGCCTTGAACTCAGAGATCTTCCTGCCTCTGCCTTCCCAGTGCTAGGATTAACGGTATGCACCACCATTGTCTGACAAGTCAGTTTATTTTGATTTCCCACAATTTCAAGAGTGTACTTTTCCTATTTTATCGTGGTGATTGTTTTTAATTGAAAATTGCATGTGTGGCCGGGCGTTGGTGGCGCACGCCTTTAATCCCAGCACTCGGGAGGCAGAGGCAGGTGGATCTCTGTGAGTTCGAGGCCAGCCTGGTCTACCGACCAGGACAGCCTCCAAAACAATACAGAAAAACCCTGTCTTGAAAAAAAACCAAAAAAAAAAAAAAAAAAAGAAAATTACATGTGTGACTAAGATGTACTAGCAACTCTGGAATGTCTTCTTTTTCTAGAAACTGCTTCATTCTTTGGTGTGCGCAGGTTTTTTTGTAATGGTAGACAGTTAACTTGCTGGAACTCAAGGCTGCAAACTGCTTGCCCCTGTAGTATGCAGCAGCAATTTATGGCTCAGGTCTTCTTGGCCTCTCTGCTTTCTCCATCCACTTCCCTGGGAGCTTTTTATGCCTGTGCCTTCTCTTGGTCTCACACGGACCTGGGTGGAGCCCATGGGTTGCTCCTTTTCACAGTGTCTGGTTGTTCTGCCATCCACACTTTTGTTTATTTTTAGAGACAGTACAGTGCTCTGTAGACCAGACTAATTTTGAACTCAGAGATCTACCCGCCTCTGCCTGCCTCCCAAGTGCTGGGATTAAAGATTTCACCTGTACTACCTGGCCTGCTACCCACATTTTACCCACAGACACCAACACTAGTGAGACTTGTGGTTTTTAATTCCTTTACTGTAAACATACACATGTTTCAAGATGAAGCAAACTTGGGAATTCCAGCAGAATTAGTTGTGTCTTCTTAATCTGCTGCAAGTAGGGTTAATCCTGATACTGGTGAGAGGACTCCTAGGACAATAGACAGTGTTGTGTGACAGAACAGGAGTGTTGTTCTGTTTGTGTTTGGTTAGTAGGCATCTAAAGAACGTTTAGAGGCCTGCAAGATTGGGTATGTCAGTGGTGAATTTGGCAAAGGGTGGGTAACAACAGATGCTGGTGGTCATTTGGGACAGGAAATAAATGGTGGAAAGTTAATGACAACAGCAGGAGTTACCATAATCAGAAAGTATTAATCTCAATTATAAATCCTAGGATTCTACATCTTTTACCCTGTTTTGGAGACAGAAGCTTATGTAGCCTAGGCTGACCATGGTCTCACTGTGTAGCCAGTCTTGATCTCCTGGCTTCCTTCTGCCACCTCCCAAGTGCTGGCACAGTTATGTGGTGCTGAGGATTGAACCCAGAGCTTCATGTATGCTAGGCAAGCAGTCTGTCAGAGGACTCTGGCCAGTCCTACTCTACACTTTTCAGCACACAAATGCAGCATTCCTTTATGGCTGCAAGCTGTAAAGATGGCGCAGTCTTACTGTTTTACTTTCCAAAATGGGTGAAGAGCTGAACGCATTGCATTTGCAGTCTAAACAGTCAGTGCTGCTGTTCCTTTTTAAAGCCAGTCATGGTGGCCCAGGTGCATGTCTGTAATCCCAGCACTCTAGAGAGAGAAGCTGGTGATTCTCTGAGTTCAAGGCCAGTCTGGTCTATGGATGGAGTTCCAGGACAGTCAGGGTTACACAGAGAAACCTTGTCTTGAAAAACCAAAACAAGATCATTTCTTTTTCTGGCTATTTAATATTTTATTTGGTATATATTACAGCAACATGAGAGGGTTATTTAGATAGATCCTTTTGGTAAAATGGACAGTAGTATTCATTTCCTTAAGAAAAGGCTTTGAGCAAAGAATAAAGTAGTTAAATGTAGATCCCATGTGAATCAGATGATCTAAAGAAACACTTGTGTTGAGAATGATGTGTGTTCCTTCTGGGTCCTTACCTGCCACAGAATGTCCCCTCTTCATTTGCAGAGGTAATTAGAAGAGCTTTGTACTTTTTTTTTTTTTTTTTTTGGTTTTTTTTCGAGACAGGGTTTCTCTGCATTGTTTTGGAGGCTGTCCTGGAACTTGCTCTGTAGACCAGGCTGGCCTCGAACTCACAGAGATCCGCCTCTGCCTCCCAAGTGCTGGAATTAAAGGCGTTGCGCCACCAACGCCCGGCGAGCTTTGTACTTCTTTCTAATTTTTACCCTCTTTCTTCTAGTCATCCTTTGGTAGATACCTGCTAACTTTGTGATGTCTGTTTACAGATAGGAGAGAGAATCCGAGTCATCTTGGACATGGAAGATAAGACTTTAGCTTTTGAGCGTGGGTATGAGTTCCTGGGGGTTGCCTTTCGAGGACTTCCGAAGGCCTGCTTGTACCCAGCAGTGTCTGCTGTATATGGCAACACAGAAGTGACTTTGGTTTATCTTGGGAAACCTTTGGATGGATGACAGCGGCTTTCTGGAAAGAAGGACAGTGGAGAAGAGATCTACTTGCGGAAAGTAGAGCCATGAAGTGATAGTATCATGTGTGCATGCCCAAGGAACATCCTGAAAATGCGTGGATTGAGAACTGGAGAAGAAGCTGTACAACAGAGATGATCTTAATGTTTCCTCTTTCCACTGGGCCAGAAAAATCCTCAGGGTTGCAGTTGGTTGAGTGGGCAGTTGACATATGCATGTTGCCACAGATTCTTCTCTACCTTAGCAGTGTGTTACTCCAGCTCATAGGTGAGGTGTAGAGATGTTGTAGAAGGGAGCACAGGATTGTATGGAGTGTCTCTGAAGAAGGTTCAGTCCCATCTTACAGCTGCCTGTTCTTCCTCCAGTCCCTTACTTCTAGCCAGCTTGACTTAGAAAGTATGAAACTGGCTGGGTTTTATTTAATATTTTTTAATATATTGAGAAGCATGGTCTGCCTGGACTGCACTTCTCTAGCAATGAGAAATAAAATTGTGCAGCTATTTTAAAAGTTGTATATATAATGTGTGTAAAAACTGTAAAGAAAAAAAACAAAAGGACAAAGGGATTGCTTTGTTCTAATTCAGTTTCTTACAAATCACTACATGGTACAAAATTAGAGTGACATTCGGAGACAGTAGGGTAATACAAAGAAGAAGAGGAGACATGTTGTACTAACTCATTTGTGTTTGGGCTTATAGTCCATGACTGTAACAGAATTATTAAATGTTCCTCAGCTGGCCAAAGACTGGGGCAATTGAGCTACTTATAATTAGGCATCTGCCAGCAAGGCTGATGCAGACGTAATAGGAATGTGCATCTCTTGGCATTTGACTTCAGTTTTTGGCCTTCTGAGAAAACTGGTCTCCACACAGAACAGTCCTAGCTGCTCTTACAGTACGTAGTATGAGCGCTATTAGTATAAACCCTATAACACATGGTCAACGGTTCTTTTATTTCCTAACTTTATAATGCTATAGATGTTATGAAGAATTTCTAATTTCATATTGTTTACATTGTACAACAGTCGAAGCCTCAAAGTCTCCACTGAGGCTGTCAACAACGTTTACTCACCCACTTGAGACAGAGCCAGTCCCCCAGGTTAGGAGTGTCCTTAATCACCTAGGTTTTGCCCCATGGGACTTAATGCTGAGTGGAACGTTATTCCTATTTTCACCCATAAACCTTCTCACTAATACTCTCTGGAATTAATTCAACACACATGAGCTGAAGGTTTTGCTTTTTTCTTTTGTTACAACAGAAACATCTTTCTGTATGAAAGTATAATTAATATGGTTCAGATACATAAGAATTGATGAAGGCAAGTAAAATCTTTGTACTTTTTACATGATTGCTGTATGTATATTTTGTTTTAAATCTAATAAAGTTAGGGACAGTGAGCAGCTTGCTGGGGTTCTTGGAGTCCTTGAGAATTAAACTTGTCAATACTGCTATTAAACAGGAGGCTCCAGCCATAGAACAGGTCTGTAGTTGCCTCCTGAAATGGTTACTGGTATTTACTGTGTATTTGCTATGTTGCTTGAAAAAGAGACATTTGTTAAAGATCTTTTTTATAATCTGTATCAAGAAGAAACCTTGTACAACGTGGAACTATATGTTAAACATATTAAGGAAGATAGGTGGCCCAGGAACTGGTTTTTTTGTTTGTTTGTTTGTTTTTGGTTTTGTTTTTGTTTTGTTTCTGGTCTAGAACAACTCAATTTGGTGGTGTGTAAAATTTGATTGGAGACCTGGCTAAAGATGAAGACAGAGGTAGTCCTTAAGTTCTTGTTGCATCTTCAGGTTATGACAAGTCCTCCAGCTTCTCGTGGGTTTGACTTATAATTTTGTTTCTGTCTTGTCATAAATGTTCATTTGCAACACAGTTCTGATGGTGCTGACTGAAAAAGAAAATCACATGGTTATTCATTTCTCATTGAACCTAAAATCAGGTAATTGCCTATTTAACACCAAGCCAGTGTTTCTGTGTTTTGTTTTTGATTTTTTTAAGACCGGTTCTCGCTGTGTAGCTCAAGCTATCCTTGAACTCACAGTGGTCTTCCCTGCCTCAGCCTCCCCAATACTGGGAATACAAGTATATGCCCCATTCCCAGAACAAGCCATTCTTAGTTCAAAGAGTTCAATGTTGCTAGTTAGGATGAGCATCAGGTGAGCGGAGGCCCTTCATTTATACTGGGTCTGTTACTGGAGACCAATAGATCAATAAGGCAAACTGCTCAGTGTTGAAGGAGGTGGTTAGAAAGCATGTAGAAGAAAACATTTGTACCTGAAGACTGAGTATATCCCCTAAATCAGTGCTGCTCCAGCTCGACTGGATTTTGGAGAAATCTAAGAAATACTTAAGCTTGGGCCCCCTAATCCTGATTCTGGTGTTGCTGGGGTATGTTCTGACCATAAGGGTTTAAAAATGTCCTGCTGGTTTCAGAATGCTGCCCAAGGTTGAGAGCAGATGTGCTAATTTCGCCTAGAGTTTTTTCATCTACACAGTAGGAAATCCTTGCTCCCCTCACTACCTCACAAGGATACAGAGGCTACAAGAGAAAACACCAAGAGTTCGGGTGTTGTAGGTGAAAAGCTACAGAAAGGCGAGCATCTGTTCTATTTCACCTGCAGCTGTGATCAGGGAAACATGTAATTGAATTTGTTGTTGCTATGGGGAGCTCTTGTGCGATTGTTTGAGGAAGCATGCATGGGTGGAACAAACCTTAATTACTATTACTCTATTCACTATGGTCTTCTGTCCTACTTGAGACAGGCTGTCATAATTATCTGGGTTTTCATAGGAAAGAAGAAATATTAAGGCTTAATTCTGTAATGTTCATTGGCTCATAATTCATTAAAAATTCATACAAGGAATTCTGTGGTAGTAGATGTCATTTCATAGTTGCCATTATTTTTTCATTGTTGACTTCTGAGTGTCAAGCCGTCTTACTTCATCTCTCATTTTTACTCAGATAAACTTAAATACAGATTTGATAGACCATCTGAAGCAAGTTTGCCTAGTACAGCTGAGCCTTTGCAGTGATTGTCTGCTGAAGAATTGCCTGCCTCTTGGGCCTGATTTGACTGGGAAACTTGAAAAACAGCACAGAAATCACAGCTAACTTCATCATTTTTGTATGTTTTAACCATTTTATGAAATGAATAGTTTGAGACAGATATTCAGGAATTTTTTAAAGTGTAAGTATTGAAAAGATTCTGTAATTGTGTGGGTAAGGCCGCTTTGATGACTGTTTGGACAGTCTATGCCCAGCCCAAATGCTGCCCTCATAACATTTCATAACATTTTACATTTTCCTCACTCCCCCCTCAATGGAGTCTCTCCTTCCTTGCAGTTTCCCTGGTTTTATTTTTATTTTTTAAATACATACTTGACTCAAGCTGTGCCTTTACAGCCCACTCATAGTGTCTAGCTCCCCTGCAGGAACACAGTATCTCGGATGTACTCGTTGCCTTTGTGCCCAGTCTCTAAGCCTAGTAAGCAGGGGCTCACCTATTTTCTGTGAAAAAGAAGAATTTGGAAGAAAGACCAAACCAGTTCTAAATATACAGACCAAAGCATAAGCAAAGACAGAGAAACTTGGTTGTAGTCCAGTGGAGCAGGAAGGCCCAGGACGCAAAATCTGAGCGAGTGAGGCAGTTTTTGCCAATGCTTTTCGGCCACTCCTCTTTATTCAGAAACACTGATAAAATGACTTTCTAGTTCTTAGTGTAGATTTCATATTTGTTCAGAATAGAAAATAGAATATTAGGCTTTTAATTTGGGGTGCGGGGATGGCTGTTTTGCCTTAGCTTCCTAATGAAAAGTTAAAACTAGGGCTGTCAAGATGGCTTAGCAGATAAAGGCATTTGCCTCTAAACCCTATGGCCTGTGTTTGGTCTCTGTGGCCATGAAATTGGAAGGAAAGAACTGACTGCCAAAAGTTATCCTTCACATGCTGGCTGTGCCGGCAACATAAACAAAATTTAAAGATAATATTGTTTTAAAAGCTAATGTCTGCCTAGGGATATAGCTCATGCACAAGGCCCTGGGTTTAATCCCTAGTTCTGTAAGTAAATAACAAAATGGCAATGTCCGAAGTTTACTTCTAAGCGTATTATAATGGGGGTAGGCTAGACATCTTCATTTTGACATGGCTGATTTGCTTTCTTTCCCATCTGTATTTAAGGAGGTTTTGTTTTCTGTGCTCTTTTGTTGGTATGTGCTCATTGTGAGAATGATGGGTTTTGTTAGGCCGTTTTCATCTGTATACCATGCACTTTAGTCACACCCTTCCCATTACCTCTCCTCCCTTTGATGTCATATGTGTGTGCATTTAAGTCTAGACTCTTCATATGATGGAAAATGCAGCCTTTGAGTCACTGTTTTTGTTTTTTGAGATAGGAACTCACTAGGGAGTGGAGAAAGGCTGGTCTGGAAATTATCGATCATTCTGCCTGTATCTCAGAGTCTGGGATCACAGATGTGTGTCACCATTTGTGGCGCATCTTCACTTAGAAAGGGAGGAGGACTTTAAGATTGGAATGAAAGCCGGGTGGGTGGTGGTGGTAGTGGTGCATACCTCTAATCCCATACGTGGAGACAGAGGCGGGTGGAGTTTGAGCGCATTCTGTTCTGCAGAGTGAGTTCCAGGACAGCCAGAGCTGTTACACAGAAACCCTGTCTCAAAACAAAGATTGGAATGAAAATTGTCAGTGACAGCCCTCTTCAGAAGCCAAAAGGTGATAGTCATTTCTAGGCCAAGTTCCCAGAGGGGTGAAAGTGTGCACACAGGATCACTCACTGAAAGGTGACGGGCTGACTGCACCAAGTGTTCAGAAGCAGCTGAGTGCCACCCACCCTTTCCAGCACAAACTCTAACCAACTTAGATGCTCTGCAGCCATCCCATGGAAGTGTTTTACATGGCTGTAGTTAAGCTGCAGCTTCTGATGTCATGAAAGATCTCCCCAACTACCGTGCTATTAGCCACCTCCTCGAATTGGGAAAGAATGAAAAAATGAAAAGTCAATTCAGAATTGTCTAAATATCTTCTAGCACCTACCACATGCAGAGTTCTTGCCAGCATATAAATATAAAGATCTGAACAAAACTAGAAACAACCCTGTTCTACAGTTGCTCCTGAGTTAGAAGAGAAGATGGCCACAATGCCAAAGGAATCATTGCCTTAAGGGTCTTCAGCATGGGGTCGGTCCCCTGTGGCAGAGGAGAATGAATGCTCTAAACCTGGAATGACGTCTAAGTAGAGTCTCAGCAGATGAGACTGTTGTAGGCAGATGGCAGTCTGCTGTGATGTGAGGTATAAGTAGTATCTAGAAATTGGGCTGGAGAAGTGAGAGTATAGGTCCAGGATATTGAGGCCACTTTATAGCTGTCAAACTAAAAGCTTTGGGTTTTTCTTGATTCATAGGGAAGCCATTCAAAAGGTTGCAGCAGGTCACAGCATGATCCGTGACATAAGCCAATGAGTATTCCACCTGCAAAAAGTAACAGGTGGTCAGGATAGCAAATGACTGAGTCCTAACCAAGGCAACTAAGAATATGAAGGAGAGATGTCTTGAGATATTCTGAGGGGATGGGGAATGGCTCAGTTGGTAGTGTTTGCTGTGGAAGCTGGGCCTGGTGACACATACCTGTTAGCCCAGTGCTGCAGAGGAGCCAGCCAATTTAGCTGAATTGGTGGGGTCCAGGTTCAGTGAGAGTCCCTGTCTCAGAAAAGGTGGAAAATAACTAAGAGAATGCCCAGCATTGACCGCTGGCTGCACTGCTGTCCTACTAAACGGTGGTAAATAAACACCATGATCAAAAACAACCTGAAGAGGAAAAGGTTTGGCTCCCCTTACGGTATCTAGTCCTGACATGAAGAGTGAAGAGAAGAGAAGCCAGGGCAGCAACATGGGATCAGGGACTGAAGCTGAGGCCTTGGGAGAACCCTGCTTGCTGCCTTGCTCCATTTGGCTGCTCAGCCTGCTTTCTTATGTCAGTCACCCAGGACCACCTGTCCAGGGATGGCACCACCCACATCAATCATTAGTCAGTAAGATGCACTACAGGTACCTAGCCAAATCTTATAGAGGCATTTTCTCAACTGTGAATCCCTTTCCCCAAACCACTAGTTTAGTCAAGTTGACAAAATCTAGCCAAGTCCAGGTGGTGGCGGCACACGCCTTTTATCCTAGCACTGGGAGGCGGAGGCAGGTGGATCTCTGTGAGTTCGAGGCCAGCCTGATCTACAAGAGCTAGTTCCAGGACAGCCTCCAAAGCCACAGAGAAACCCTGCCTTGGGAAAAAAAAATCTAGCCAAGACAATACACCACATGCATGCACACAGAAACATCTACCTATACACCTGCCCCTCCCCCCCCAAAAAAGAATAGGAAGGTCAGTTGACTCTTTATACATGAAGAACAAAACATTGTTGCTGTGATCAGCTGAGAATAATAGGACTGGCCCTTCATTAAGATAGGGAGCTGAAAAGGAAGAATTGGCTGGGTGGTAGTGATCTCAGTTTCATGCACATCTGAAGTAAAACTGTTCAAAGGCAGTCAAGAACTAATTTGTAGTTGAAGTAGACTGTCGGGAGCAATCATTATTATTTAGAACCTCTTGTAAATATTGCCAGCCTTTTTAAAGAATTGTCCATCCCCCTCCCCAGCTTCCTAACGAATAGAATTTGGGCTCACAGGAATAGCCAATGGCAAGAAAGGAAACATTCCACAATTAGATCACTTAACCCCTCTGCAACCGCTCACCTTCAGTAGCGTGGTTACTAGGCAAGGACCCCTCCCTCATTGTCCTGCATTCCTCTGCCCCATCCCCCTACCTCATTTCCCCTATACGAAATTCTCATTAAAGGCAGCTTGATCAGAAAGTCTGTCTTGCTGTCCGTCTTGTGTCTCCTGTTCGCACATTCCAGGTTCCCGTGGGCTAGACAGACCTTCGTTGTGCCCTGCTGGCCAGGGCAGCAGACAGTGAATGATGTCCAATAAAAGAGCTGCTGCTGGGGTCAGTGGGGTGGCTTAGTGGTTAAGAGCTCTTGGCATCAAACCTGAGGAGTTGAGTTTGATCCCCAGAATCCATATGATGGAAGGAGAGAACTGACTCTTTAGAATATGGAACACTTCGTGAATTTGCGTGTTATCCTTGTTCAGGGGTTATGCTGGATCACAGGTCTACTAGATTGTAGAGCTAGTAAAGCCAATGAGGAAAGCTAGACAGCAATAGCTGTTTAAAAACTTTTTCAGTTTTGAATCAGGGTCTCACTATATAACTGTGGCCAGGCTGGTACTCAGAGATCCTCCTGCTTCTGCCTCCTGAGTGCTGAGATTTAAGGCTTGTGCCAACACAGTCTGCCTTTTTACATTTATTTAGTGTGTACACACATGCATGTTCACGCCATGGTGACCATGTGGAGGTCAGACTTTTAAGAGTCAGTTCTCATGCTCACTTCGGCAGCACATATACTAAAAATGGAACAATACACAGAAGATTAGCATGACCCCTACATAAAAAGTGTGAAGACAGCCTGGGCAAGATTGATAGATTGTCAAATTTTGACATGTATATATTAATCACAACTAAGATACTATGTCCAGGAAGCCTTTTTAAAAGAGAATGCTCGGGAAAATTCTGCAAAGTAGGAGAATGGATTCAAACATTCATACTGATGTTGTTACAAGTTTCTAGGTAATTTGCCCTTGAACCAGAAGATTGCCTTTCAGGATGAAAACATCATGGACAAACTAGATGGACAAGATGGTTCAGCAGGTAATGGGGTTCTCCATCAAGCCTAAAACCTGAAACTTACTCTCATCACCTATATGGTAGGAAGAGAACCAACTCCTGGAAACTGTCCCCTGACCCCCATGCTGTAACACATCCACCCACCCATATACGTATTCCAAGAAAATCAACAAAGTGCATTCAATATAAACTGAAGTTAAATCCAGACCCATCCATTGCCAGACCCTGAACACTAACTCATTATTTATTATTTGTTACTGTTAATGTTTGTGTGCACGAGGCAGGGTGTGGCTGTGGTAGCCTTTTTTGGACCACCAGCCCCCAAATCATGACAGAGACTTATAATTATGAATGCTCGGCCGTAGCCTAGGCTTGTTTCTAAGTAGCTGGTTCCTTTTTTAACTTAAATGAACCCATTTCTAGTAATCATGTGCTTCCTGAGGCTCATTTACCTCATATACGTACTGTCCACCCTGCTTTCCTGTGTCTGTGTCTGGCTGGCTGGTCCCTGGTGTCTCTCTTTCTCCCTCCTCTCTAAAGCCTAGATTCCTCCTCCTACTTATCATCTCCTGCCTAGCTGTTGACCATTCAGCTTTTTATTAGACCAATCAGGTGCCTTAGGCAGGCAAGGTAAAACAGCACACATCTTTACATAAACAAATCCAACCTTAACAGAAGATACCCATCTTTACATAGTTACAGGAATATTCCACAACAGGTGGCGTTTGTGCCATGTCCACAGGTTCCTAGAGGACAGCTTTTGGTAGTTGGTTCACCTTTAGCACTATTACATGGGTTCTGGAGGGATCTCCAGGCTTGTGTGGAAACCCATTTGATCACTAAACAGGTCCATTTGTGCTTATTCTTTAATGGAGTATTCTTTTTCAAAATTTCATACATATATACATTTTTTTATCATATCCACTCCTTAGTTCCCCTCCAGTTTCCCCTCAAAGTCTCCCCAGTACATTCCTCTCCCCAACTTCATGTCCTCTGGTGTCTTGTGTTGCTGAGATGTTCTATGTAGCCCTAGCTGTCCTGGAAACTCACAATGTATACAGGCTGGCCTAGAACTCACAGAGATCCTCCTGCCTCTGCCTACTGAGTGCTGGGGTGAAAGGTGTGTCACCCACCACCTGACTACTGCTGCGTCTGCTTCCCCTCCCCCTCCCCCTCCCCCACTCCTCCTCCTCATTCTTCTGCTGAGTCCTGCCTATGCAAGCATGGGCATGGGGCCCTCCACCAGACCATGGTCCACTTGCCAGTGACCGCACCCCAAGTTTTAAAAATGACTCTTCCTCCCACGAGAGCCATCAGTGAGCCCTTCTCCCGTCTATGCTGACATCGGGGCAGGTACCACATCTGCTGTGAGTTCATGAGTGCAGCAACCATGCTTTGTTCGATGACAGCATTTCACAGCACCCCTCTCCAACCTACAGTATTTCTTTTCTCATTTTTATTTTTATATGTATGGGTATTTTGTCTGTAGGTATATCTGTGCTTCATTTGTGTTCCCAGTTTCTACAAGAGGCCAGAAGAAGGCAATGTATCCCCCTAGGACTGGAGTTAAAGACAGTTGTGAGCTGCAGTGTGGGTGCTGGGAATTGAACCTAGAACTGGGAAGGCAGCCAGTGCCCTTAACCACTGGGCTATCTCCAGCCCCTCTTCCCGCCCCTCTCCTGCAGTGTTCCTTTTACCTTGGCCTGGGCTGGAGGCTGGTATAGCACTCACAGGCACTTATTCCCAACGCTTTGACCAGCTAACCGAGTGCACTTGTGGTTTTCCTGGGGACCCACATGGTAGGAAAAGAAAACCAACTCCTATAAGTTGTCCTCTGGCCTCCGCAGGATCCCCCCTGGCTCAGCTCACATACACACAGACAAATAAATAAATGCAATAATTTTTTAAAAAAGAAAAGGCTGGGGCTGGAGAGATGAGTCAGTGGCTAAGAGCACTGGATGCTCTCCCAGAGAACCTGGGGTTCAATTTCCAGCACCTACAAGGTAGCTCATAACGGTCTGCACCTCCTGTTACAGGGCATCTGGCATCCTCACACAGACATACATGCAAGCAAAACACCAATGCACATAAAATAAATATAAATTATTAGAAAAAGAAAAAGGCTTGCAGTGTAGTGGTGGGGAACACCTTTAATCCTAGCATTTGGGAGGTAGAGGCAGGTGGATCTCTGAGTTCAAGGCAAAAAGTGAGTTTCAGGACAGCCAGAAAAAACTCTGTCTTGAAAAACAAGAAAGAAAGAAAGAAAAAAAGAAAGAAAGACAGGAAGGAAGGAAGAAAGGAAGGAAAGAAGGAAGGAAGGAAGGAAGGAAGGAAGGAAGGAAGGAAGGAAGGAAGGAAGGAAAAGAAGCCTTGTCTACTGAAAGCATGTGGCTGGCAGAGTCCACACAAATAGCCACAGAATTTCATGTATTCTGCCGTCATTTAGATGTCATTTAGAGATCTGCCTGCCCCTACCTCCCAACTGCTGAGATTAATACCAACTGCTGGGATTAATGGCGTGTGCCACCACAATTAGCATACATGTCAGTATTCTTATCTGGATTTTTTTCAGAGACCATATAGTTGGTCCTTCTTGAAGTGGGTGGCAATAAAATTCGGTTGCTAAACCAAACCTAAGAAGTTGTAGCTGTTGTTGGTCATGTCTGAGAAGCAAGCTTTTACTTGTTTGACAAAAGGGGATTTAATTATTGAAAATGGCTATAGGAAAGAAATAAACATAATGGTATAGGTTGAATTGTGTTATATGTTAAAATTTTTAAATTATTTCATTTTGTGTGTATATATGCATGTGTTGTGTGTGTCTGTCTGTGTACCACATGTGTGCAGGAGCTCACAGAGGTCAGAAGAGAGCATTAGTTCCCCTAGAAGTACTATCACAGGTAAGTTGTCATGTGGAAACCTCTCCAAGAACAGCAAGTCTCTCCAGCCCATAGGTTAAATTTTTTTGTTGTTTTTTTCCAGACAGGTTTTCTCTGTGTCATCCTGGCTGTCCTGGAACTCACTCTGTAGACTAGGCTGGCCTTTAACTCAAAGACCTTATGCTAAATTCTTTCCAGGGTAGAATTTCAAATCCAGAGCTTGAGCATTTTACTCTGTAGGGTGGGGGCAGGATCTGGCGGTTAGGGTTAGGGCAGTTAGAGTGTTCAGTGGGTGGAACTTAGCAGTTGGAGATCCTCAAGGGGGAGGGGCCTGGCCACTTGTGCGCCTCCCGGAGGTTACAGCTAATGTCCTTTCAGAGACACTTAGGCAACACACGAGCATAGATGAATGAATGCCTTAGGAAGATGAGGACATGGGCTGGGTGACCCGTCAAAAACCAAGACACTCCCAAAACTAGGGGAGAGCCTGGAACAGGCTCCTTTTCCTAGCCTACAGGAGGTACCAACCCAGCTGGCACTTGGCTCTGGGATTTTATCTTTCAGAATAGTGAGGCAATGACATTGTTATCATCCAGTTTGTGACACTTTGCTGTGATAGCCCAGTGGTAAGATTTTTGTTGTTTTAATCAACTTTGCTTTTTCTCCCTGGAGGGAATTTGATGCCAGATTTAGAGATTTACTAAAACAAAAGCCACCGATAGTTTTAGGGGTGACATAGAGAGTATGTGTGTGGCTCTTGCTGGGTTTCAGTTATATCCCAGTGTTTGAAAAATACATACATGGTGTAGTGGTTAAGGATGTGGATTCTAAACCATATGGTGGTGGGGCACACCTTTAATCCCAGCACTAGGGAGGGAGAGGCAGGCAGACCTCTGAGTTCGAGGCCAACCTGGCCTAGAGCGTGTTACAGGACAGCCAGGACTGTTACACAGAGAAACTCGGAAAAAAAAAAAAAAACCCACCACAACAAAAAGGGTGTGGGAGGCCGGGCGTTGGTGGCGCACGCCTTTAATCCCAGCACTCGGGAGGCAGAGGCAGGCGGATCTCTGTGAGTTCGAGGCCAGCCTGGACTACCAAGTGAGTTCCAGGACAGCCTCCAAAGCCACAGAAAAACCCTGTCTCGAAAAACAAAAAACAAAACAAAACAAAACAAAAAACCAAAAAGGGTGTGGGTTCTGAAATAAAGGCTGTTAGTATCCAAATCCCAACACAAACTGGTTACTACTTGGACAGGGTATTTGAAGGCTCTGAGCCTGGTCTCCTGATGTACACAGTGAGACGGGAGATAGTGCTGAGTATTGTTACATTTAATATTTGTGTGTGTGTGTGTGTGTGTGTGTGTGTACACAAGTGCCACACACACATGTGGAAATCGGAGGACAACTTTTAGGAGTTCATTGTGTCTTTTCCTCCATGTGGATTCTGGGGATCAATCTCAGGCCATCAGGCTTGGTGACAAATGACTTTACCAGTTGAGCCATCATATGTGCTCAAGCTAAGCACTTTATGTTCAGATTAATGCACACTGATCTCTTTAGCACGGTGTCAGGAGCATAGAGAGATTTACTGAACTCCTTACTGTTTCTGAGCTATTCAAAGGAGTCAATACTAGAAGCCAACCATGAGGATGAAGTGAGTAGACTGTAGCTTTTTGTTTTGTTTGGTTTGGTTTGGTTTGGTTTTGGCTTTTGGTTTTTCAAAACGGTTTCTCTGTGTAACAGCCCTGGCTGTCCTGGAACTTGCTCTGGTTTCCAACTCAACAGAAATCCACCTGCCTCTGCTTCCTAAGTGCTGGGATGGAAGGTGTGTGCCACCACTGCCTGGCCTGTAGTTGCTTTTTAATACAAAATGCAAATGTTTTTAAAATTAAGAATAGTTAAGAATAGCAATTTTTATTGGTAATG